TGCACGCATGCTCCACACACATGCTCATGCACGCCAGCTCCACGCTGCTGCAAGTCTTACATGGGATTCTGTTGAGGGCCGGCCACCCTTCTTCTGTTCTGGTCAGAGGCTTAGAGGGAGGAAGCTTATTATCTAACCTGTACATAGTAAGTCAGGCCTTGATTATAACATTGTCTTCAAGATTTGTAACAGCTGTATAAGAGTCATGGTTTTTTAAAAAAGATAATGGTATCTATTTCTTCAGAAGTACATCATGGCTTAATAAAGACATAGGTCACATAACCTTTACCCAAACAGGCCAATCTAAAACCTGTAGCTGAATAAGTACTTTGTGGAAATGTGGGAAATACTGTCCAGTATTCCTCCGTTTCTCTAATAATTTGTGTCATTATAAGCTGTTTGTTCTAAAACTGTCTTCTCTGAACTAGAAATATAAGACACTTCACCGAAGGACCTGCGTTTGGTACAGCTCCTTAATGACATTTCTAGTGCATCAGATCAATCTATATTTATCTAAAAATGCTGACAGTTTCCTAATTAAAAAGTGTATGAAAATATACCTAATAACCAGTAATTCCGTGAGAGGACTATATGTAACATCCTTAATTACAAGCAAGGTCAGCAACAACAACAAAGTCCAGTAAAACTTCTTTGTGAGAGATTATAAAACATTATTTTGAAGCAACATTACCTTTTATGAGAAAATCTATGTGTGGGAGCCTGGGCTTTGGAGGAAGGTGACCCCGAGCTTTAAATCCTGGCCCAGTGCCTTACGAGCGAGGTATCCGTAAGCAAAACACTCAACCTCGCGATTAGCTTTCTTCCTTGTAACATAAGGTTGGTAACACTATCTTGCAATATTATTGAGGATGAGATGGAGTAATATATACAAAATGCCTCCCACAAAATAGATATTGAAGAAAGGGTAGCTGTTGCTAATAGTATCATATTTATGTTATAGGGGGAAAAACCATCCTTTTCATTCTATTGGAGTGCGTTAATTTCTTTTTAAAACACACCTGATTTATATTGATTGCGTGTGGGTTGGAGGCATCATAAGCAGGAATGAATTAAAATGATTTTTCCTTTTAATTAAAAATAAATCAATAACATCATGAGGACATTTACTTCTTCCAAAGAGAAAATGAAGCCATGAATAGCATTTCTTCGTATGGGGACCGCACAAAGTTGAAGCCAAAGCGGGTGCCAACACGAGAGTCGGGCGGGGAGGCTCAGGCCGGAAGAGCCTTCTGTGCGGCCGCGAAGGGCCGCGAAGGGCCGCGGACGAGGCTGGGATCCCGCTGCGCTGCGCGCTCGCGGCGCGGGGTGGAGCAGGCGAGCGTGGGGGCGCCAGGGCCTCCCAGGAGGGCCCCTGTCTCTGACATCGAGTCCCAGCCATTCATTTTTCACTGTAAGTCCCAACAGAGAGATGGGAACAGTGACAGAAACGAAATGTCTGTTTCTATTTTTGACTTAACCAACATTATTGTTACTAATTAATATTAAATGGATTATCTTTGTTCCTGGCTCTGTTTTAGCCAAAAAAAATTATCCCCATTTGACCCTGCTGGATAGAATTTCAGTGTTTCGTGCAGCTGAGGCAGACATAGACTGATAACAGCAAAGTGAACAGTAGACACACTGGATAAACACAAAAATCAAAGTGAATATTAATAAATATTAGATGAACACAGGGTAGCAAAAAGCGAATCAATAAAGAATAGTGGCATGGGACGAAGAAAACTGCAACCAAAGACACGGATTGAAGAGTCCTCAGCCCAGCGCCCACCCCCCCTTCCCGGGACTCTGGCCGAGGCCCCTCCGGACCCCAGGACAGGCCGCTCTGCCCTCGATCGCGGGGACCCTGCAGACTCCGTGGCACCCACGGTGCTTTCCATGAACCATGTTGCCTTTAAAACCTTTTCCTATCGACGAACCCCAGGTTCATCTGTAAGTGAAGGTGGCTTCCCTCTTTCCACGAATACGCTAACGTTTGGGTAATTCCTTGATTTTAAGGCTTTGATTGCTGTTTAATGACAGAGATCCTGGGAAGGAGTAAATTTTGAATAGACAGGTACTTCTCCGTGAAGTTGCCAAGCTGGGGGCGCAGGGAGAGGCCAGCCGTCGGGTGGGCTCCCCCTGGCGCCGGCGGTGGGAACTGCAGCGGCCTCCGCGCCCGGCTCCCCCGTCGTTCGTCACTGAATCCCGGTGTTGCGCTGGGCACCTGCTCGTCCAAAGTAAGAGCTACGCTCTCCAGCCGGCCTTTGTAAGGAGGCACCGCCATGTAGCCAGAGCAGACGTGCACTCAGAGGGGCCAGGCGCCCTTCCTCGCTTCGTCCTTCCTGCCGCCCCGAAGGTGCAGGCAAAAGCTGGGGCTCGGGGGCGGGGGCGGGGGCGGCCGTGGCCCCGGCGCGGCAGGGGTGGCCCTACTTCGCCCGAAGCGCCATCGCAGGGGGACAGGCCGCTCTGCTTCTTCTGGTTGGTTTAGTTCGTCCCCGGCTGTTCTTTTTCTACTCCCTCAACCCATTTAAATATCCCTGAAGACGCAAGAGACAGGAGAGCCCCAAGTCTCCCCAAACCTCTTGCAACTATACTAGTATTTTCACAGCTCAATTGTTTTCGTGGGCTCTTCCACAAGCGAGAGAGATATGGACAACTGAGGAGGTATATGTCGTTTTCATAAAATGTCCAAAAAAGACGGGGTTCTCAGAGACAGGCAAACCCCTAACAGCGCCGCATTTGCGATACTTAACCGCGCGCTGGGCGAGCGGCCTCCTGGGGTCCGAGGCCTTCGGGCGGCGACCGCAGCGTCAGTGACAGAACCTCGGAAGACGGACACTCTTACCTGCCCGTGTGGTGTTTAAATTTTCAAATGCCAAACAATCACACTTAAGTGCTGGGTTTTTTGTTTTTGTTTTTTAATTTCTTCTGAAAAAAATTTATAAAGAGGTGTGCCTTCGCATGTATCTTTAAAAATCACAGAAGTCTTATTTCTCATAAGCTGCTACCAGGAATGGCTAGAGGAGGGTCCCTTTCACCTTTTACTTTTGTTTGTTATGAGCTAATTTAAATGCAATCGCTCTAACCATCACGACACCGCAACGATTAGGGGAGCATTTAAAAGTGTATGTTCTGAATAGTTATAAAAACTGTTCGCCGCGGTGATGAAAGTGCATTGGATTCTCACTGATGACAAGATTGGAAGACAGGCCTTAGATTTCTTAAACGAAAACAAAAACAAAACCCTAAAACTAATGGGACATAGTAGGTTCCCCATTCACTGTTGTCTCATTATTCAGTCAATCTGTGAAATTGTTAGTTTGTGTTTTTAAAAAACTCTCCCATATAAAAGATCTTACGGCAGTGATTCTTGAATTATGGCCACTTGCATCAGAATTGCCGGCGCGTTTGTTTAAAATGCTGACCACTCGGAAGCCCCATGATGCCTCGAGAATTTGAATTTACTCCCCGCTCCCCCAGATTCAAGCACATTTCCGTCCAGACCCCGCGTTCCGCTGCCTGTCGGACGCGATGAAGTTTCAGGCTGAGTCAAGGTGCTGCTTCCACGCCTCCGCGCCAATGTCGAGCTCGCGCCATTCCCTCCGTAACAGACAGTCCGGCCTCTCGCCAGAGGCAGCATCTGTCCTGGGCTGATCACCGTTTATTCTCAAGGGGAGGGGACTGCCCGGCACGGGGACACGGACAGTCTGACACGCTAGTCAGCTGGGGGACAGGTAAGTGTAATAGAAGAGCAGTTCAGAGATTTGAGACCCATTTTGAACTAGTGTGCGAGGAAAAGGCTGAGTGGAAGGACAGGGTAACTTGATAAGGGCTCCAGTGTCATCCTGTGCAGGTGCTGTGGCCCCGATGACGGGTGTGCTCCCTCGGTAGGACCTGCTCTGGGTGAATAACCCGGCGCGCACTCGGCGCTTGCCCGCGGCCGCGCCCCGGGGACGCGGACGGCGCCGGCCTGGGAGGGGCCGCCCCGCGCGGTGGCGCCCCCGGCGCGGCGCCGGGGAGCCCTTTCTCTGCGTTGCCGCCAGGACCGCCCACTCCTCCCGCGGGAAGCAGCGGTCGGTCCTGACCAGCGGCGCGCCCTCGTGCCTCTTTCTCCCTCCGCGCCGCGCCCCCGCCCGCTCCATTGTGCTGTGCGTGATCCTCGCCTCCCGCAGAGGAGCTTCGCCGAGACCGGGAGGCGCGCCTCGCCATGGAGCTGTACGGAAAGGTGAGCGAAGGGCGTCCCCCGCGAGGTCTGCAGGGCAGCTCACCTGACGCACTTGTGTGTGAGTGCGTGTGTCAGTGTCCGTACGCACGTGTGTGCGTGCGTGCATGTGCGCGCGCGCGCGTTACTGTGTCAGTGTATGGGTGTGTGAGTGGGTGTGTGTGTCGGTGTATGAGTGTGTCAGCGTCAATGTGAGGGCGCGCGCGCGCGTGTAACTGTCAGTGTATGGGCGTGTGTGCATGTGCGCGCCCGCGCGTGTCAGTGTACGGGTGAGTGTGTCCCTGTCTATGTGAGAGTGCGCGCGCGCGCGCGCTCCCTCTAACGCGAGGGTGCGGGCAACCCAGTTTAAACTGTCCGGGTTCCGGACGGCAGGTGCAGGGCCGAGAGTCGCAGCGCCGTGCGGGTGTCGTTTGTTTCGGTCGTCAGCACCCGGCAGTGCGTTCCCTAACCGGGAAGTCCCAGTGCAGCCTCGGAAGGCCACAGGTGGAAACTGCAAATCCGTCGCTGCGGCTGAGCTGGGGTCCCGCCCGCCTGCGCCCGGGGAGGGACCGGGCGAGGCTGAGAGCGGCCCCGGGAGCGGGAGGTGCGGCGGCCGAGCGCGGCGGGAGGGAAGGCGGCCCGCGCTCTGGGTCGCCGGGAGCTGTAGTGCACGGCTCGCGGGCTCGCGGGCTTGCGGGGCGCGGCCGGGGTCTAGACTACAACTCCCAGGAGCGCGCGCGCCGAGCCAGAGTGCGCATGCGCCCCAGGAGGGGACAGCGCCGGTGCTGATATCGGGTGGGTCAGCGAACCCGAGGGTGCGGAGCGCGGAGCGCGCGCCGGACTAGCGCCGTCGTCCCCGAGAGCGAGGGCCGCCCGAGAACAATGAGACACGAAGCTCCCGTGCAGGTGAGTCTGTGCGGAGCGTGTGGCCCTGGGAGGGACTGACAGAGACGCTGGCACCCTCGGTCCGGGCGGCCACCGCGAGGAGTGCTCGGACTCGGTCCGGGAACCGACGTGTCGCGATGGGAGAGGGGCTCCTTGTCGCCGTCCTGGGCTCCACAGAGACAGTGAGCGCGCCTGTGTGCCTGTGAACAACACTCTGGGCGCGGGGTCGTGTGTCACCTGCCGTCCCTGATCTGGGACCGCGGTGCCAACGCGAGGGCTTCGGGCAGGCGGGCGTCCAGGGGTCCTGGGGTCGGGACCGACCGAGCGCCGGGCCACGAGCGGGGAGGGCAAGCGGTGTTAGGGCCCCCTCAGTCCCCGGCCTCGGTCAGGGCTCGGACAGCGTAGGCACACAGGGCGAACACCGAGGGCTCGGCGCCACGAGGAGGCCCTTCACCTCTGACCCCGGCAGGTTCACCCCTGCCCTTCACCTCTGAGCCTGGCAGATTCACCCCTGCCCCTTACCTCTGATCCCAGCACAATCCAGAGGCCCTTCACCTCTGACCCCAGCAGTTTCACCCCTGTCCTCCACCACTGACCCCAGCACAACCCAGAGGCCCTTCACCTCTGACCCTCGCCTCTGACCCCGGCAGGCTCACCCTTGCACCCAGAGACCCTGAGCCCCGAGCGATGGGCCTGTCGCTGCGCGCTCAGCCCCTTCAGTCCCACTCAGGTTTGCTGCCGTGGAATCCTGTGCCGAGCGTCGGCATTAACTTCTGTTTTCAAGGAGCGGTGAGCGATCGCTGCTCGTCTCCCTGGGTTCCCGGGCGAGCAGGGTCCGTGCACCGCCGAGCCGCACAGGTGGCCGGACCGCGGGACGGCGGAACCGCGGGTCAGGGGTCCCTCCCGAGAGCCCGGCTTTGCTGCCAAATCCAGGGGCACAAATGTTTGACCTTCGTTCTTGCTGAAACGTTTTCCTCATGAATCAAGGACTTTAAACATATGCATCTATTTACTTTTCATCTATTTTATGGGTTATGCGCTTGAAGCTATACACTGATTGAACTGTTAATGAAACACCCACAAATCTGCAGAATCTGTTTGTTGAAGGGTCAGGCAGCGGAAGCCCTTAGATGACCGCGTGAGTTATTGAGAATTTGCTTTGTTCTAGAGAACAGGGCCCCCTTGTGTGCTTCCCGGTACCTCTGTGTGCGCCTCGGCTGTTCGCTGCGAACCTGATGTGAACAGAGCCTGGCAGACAATGAAGGTGCCGGCTGTGGCCATGGAAATATGTTGGCTGATGATGGGTTTCCATTGCCGGAGCCGCTGCCGGCAGCCGCCTGGCCACATTAACCGTATTTGATTAGAAGTAAACATAGACAGTGGTATTTGAAAGTACATTGTTAATGTTTAAGTCAACTCCGTATATGCACTGAAGTGTTCCTGTCAAAATAAACTGCTAACTATCAGCCACACTGCATCTTGATTTTTATTTTTGTAAAAGAGTTGCTTAGAATCTTCAGAGGGTCATTAAAATGTTACAGAACTATATGAAATCAATGCCTTAGGAAATATTTTAAATTATTTCATATCAACTATATAGTAAGCAATTTAACAAAGAATTAATATAAAAATAGGTAACAAAATTAATTTGCTCATGGATGGATTTTTTTTCATATTTATGGTGTACTTGATTCACTGGACTAGATTGAGATTTAAAAATTTAAATGCCCAAATGCTATTGTGAACAATGTACATTTTAAGAAATCAAAGACTGTTTTCTGTAGTGTATTTATTTAAAGCACACTCGTTGATTCAGTTAACAAGTAAATTGCTGTTTTGGTGGTTCTCTTCATTATAATCAGATTTTCAAACATAATGATAGGAAGAATAAAAACTGTAAACATGCTTTGTATTTCTTAAGTGTCAAGTAGTGTCTCAGCATCCATACTTCTGAATCATAAGCACATTCCCAGAGACTTTGACACATGAAAATGTAACAAGATTAATAGCTAACATTTCTTTTTTCTTCTATTTAAAGACTGAATGAATGCTATCATTTTAAATATATGTTCTTAAATTTTACTTAGGTTTCTGGACAATGGGTGACAAGCAAAACCTCATCCTATAGTTGCATTATCCTAAGATATTCCTTTCCCCATTTAAAAATATTTAATTTGTTGATGTAAAACAAAACAAGTTCTTTAATTGTTGATTTCCTAATTACATACTTTCTAAAGTCAGAGGCGCCTTTTAAAAATTATTTAATGTCTTTTAAAAAGTAACTGATATGCCTATATCTTGGTGTTGTGTTCAAGGTAGTTTTTGATATGGGGTATTTGTTTTTTAATCCTCACCCAAGGACATGCTTATTGACTTTAGAGAGAGAGGAAGGGAGGAAGGGGGCGAGGAACATCATCTGGTTGCCTCTCACATGTGCCCAGGCTGGGCACCAAACTGGCAACTTAGCATGTGGCCTGACCAGCAAATGAACCCATGACCCTTTGGTTTAGAGGATGATGCTCCAGCCCACTGGGCCACACCAGCCAGAGCTCTCTAGGGATATCTTTTGAAAAATATCACTCTAAGTTGATGCAAAGTGAGGGAAAATAACTTTTTTATAGTGACTATTAAAATAATACACAGTGATAACATTTGATTTCTGTACTTCTTTTGTAACTAAATAACCAGGAATAGCATTTGGCAAGTGCTCCAAATGATGGGCTAGAAAGTTAGAATTTTAACGCAGGAAGTGGCCGCTCTGGGCCTCGTTCAGCGTATCTGTCAGTCCCCAGGGCCAAGTGAAGCGGGCAGTAGCACTGCTCCTGACACGAGGGAAGGACACGGGAACAAGCTGTCATTTGATTCGGACTGAACAAATTCCAGTTTATTTAGTGCTTTGTGCCAAGCACTGTGCCTCGGATTCAGATCTCTGTGTGTGTCTGTCTATCCACCTGTCTGTGTATAAAATATGAAACAGTCCTAGAGGTCACTGTTACTGATTGCAGTCAATATAACTGGTGCTTATTAAGAACAAATAACTCTTCTAACACGGTAGGTTCAAGATTCTGCCACATCTCCGTCTGGAAAGCCTGTGTCCCGTCTCCTGTTATTTTGGGTTTCCCAGGAAGACTCAGAAGAGTGTTGTGAAGAATGAGGGCGCTATTGATGTAAATTGATCCATTCATTTGGTTCAGAAGAAAGAAAAATGGTCTCTATCTTCTGTTTATAAAACAAACCTGTATAAACTAAACCAAACATTTCAGAAGGGCCAATGCTTTAAAAATGGCTTGATTTTTGTTTCCTGGATTTGAATTTCTTGCAGGTTGGCTTGCTGTCTTGCAGGACCAACGTGGAATCCATTGTCTCTGATTGAATGCTTAGTCTTCAGTTTTGTTATCTGCAAGATTCTTGAGTCATCTCAGAAATGCAGAGCATTCTATTTGGGAAACTTTGAAGAAAAACATCTACCCCCTGTATGAAACAGGCTGCCAAGAAACTAAAAATAAAAAGATTATTTGGCTAAAAATGAGGTGGACTGAAGAAGGTATATGGATGTAGGTTGAAGATGAAGTTGCGGTGAAACTCCATAATCAATATTAAATGCAGTCATGCTGTATAGAAAAACAACTTAAAAAGAAATAAAGTCTGAATAGTCACTGTTTCATTTGATCATGAAAAATGCTCATCTCCCTTGCATTTCATTATCATTGAATTTCTGACAGTGTCAGGCTTCAGCGGTGGCCCCTTTGTCTTTACAAGAAACGGAAACTTAGTTCCCCTCCTTTATGGAGACGGAGACTGAGGAGCAAGGGGCTCCTTCCTCCTCCCCACAAGGGCCGCTGGATGTGCGGGCAGATCCCCTCACCTCGTTCCTGTCTGAGGGGCTCCTCCTGCACCAGGAAGCCTGAGGCCGCTGCAGTTGTTCTGTTGTTGTGGCTGCAGGTATAGACACCCCATCATGCTGAGGACTTTTCTTTTGATTTTTAGTTTCCTGAGAGTATCTGTGTTTAACATCAGTGGGTGTTGAACTTTGTCAAACACTTGTCCTGTACCTATTGGGCGATTACACGGTTTATCTCCTTTATTCTGTTGGATGTTGTTAATTGATTTTGAGAGGATCTGGCCTTCTTTAGGTACATCCCTGTTGGCTCTTTCCAGGTGTTGCTGGATTCAATTTGATCACTTTCCTTGAGTTTTGCATGTAAGTTCATGGTGGATATTGCTGTGTGATTGTTTTGTAGCATCTTTATGAGGCTATAATATCGTAGTCATGCAGACCTTATAAAACAAGATGAGAAATGTTCTTTCTCTGTTTTCTGAGTGATTTTGGTGTGATTAATATACATTGGTATTTAAAGCATTTGGCAGAGTTCATCAATGGAGCCACTGGAGCCTAGAGTTTTCTGTGTGGAAAAAATCTGACAAATTCAACAATTTTTTTTTTTTACTCTGTGTGTGTGTGTGTGTGTGTGTGTGTGTATCTGTCATCCAAGCACCTGCCTGTCTACCTACTGACCTACCTACCAGCCTGTCTCCCAGCCTGCTCCATCTCTCATCTGTCATCCACCCACCACCTGCCTTTGGGGGGTGGGAGGTTGCTGTTTTGCCTGCCACCACATACTAAAGATGACAGGTGGATGGATGGATGGGTGGACAATGGATGGTGGGTGGATGGACGCTTGCGGGAGTTCAGCAGGGAAACAGGCCACTTCACCGCCTGGGAAACATCCTGTCCCCAGTGGGGGCATTGGCGTCTCTCCTGAGAGGCTCTGAAGCTGGAAAAGGGACTCTCGGGTTGAGTGGGAAGTTCAACTCTGATTCTTTTTTTGGAAATTAATTCAAAATTAATGTAATTTAAAGTGTTATCTTTTCTCTAACTCTTAGGAGCTCTGACTTGCTCTGGGGGAGGTTACTTCATGCTTACTCGCATTTTCAGACTTTAGCTATATTTTCCCACGTAGTGAGAGGCGTCAGTAAATTTGCACAGCGAGTGTCTGTGATTCCCTCCGGCACTGCTGTCCAACTGCTTCCTTTCTGCTCTCAGCAAGGCACTAGGGCGTCTCTTTCTCCATCCTCTGAGCCAGGATTCATTTCCTTATTCTACAGTTTGATAAAACGTATACATTCCCAGTGCACAGCTTTTTGGCTCTCTGTGAATCTTACTGAGGCTATAACTCAGGCACTAGTAAAAGTCTGCCAGAGCAGTGGGTTAGCAACCTCTGTAATCGCCCCTCAGAGGCTCTGGGCTCAGGCCCCAGCAGGAGCCCGCAGCACCCACCCCCTTGCTGCTCCGAGGGTGAGTGGGCTCAAGGCCCACACCACAGAGAGCCCCCCGCCCCCCATGCCTTCCCCTGCGGGAACCTCCACGGAGCACTCAGAGCGCCTCTGCAGGGGGTGCCTGTTTCTTCAGGCATTGTAGTTGGCCTGGTTCTGGAGCAGGACTTGGGACAGGCAGCCACAGAGTCCATCCTGCTTTGTCTGGAGGCGACCTAGTGGGCTGAGGGCTCCACGGTGCCACCCACATAGGGCAGGGCAGGGCAGGGCAAGGCAGGGCGCTGTGCAGGTCGACCGTCGGGTGTGCTGCTCTGGAAACCGTGGTGTCTGCATCCTGGCTGGGCCTGGGCTGAGCACCGTCCACCCAGGGTCCGAGCTGGTTTGCACAGAGGACAGTGGCAGGAGCTTCCTGCCTGCCATCTGCCACCTGGCTGACCTTAGCAGTCCCAAGAGGGGAGAATATCCATTGTTGAAAGGGCTGTGTCTGCAGGAACCTGCCGAACACAACAGTTACCTGGGCTTCCAGGCATGGGGGGATGGGTGGGCGGGCAGCGGTGGAGCAGTCAGAGCAAGACATCCTTGTTTGAACTGATTGTCCAGATGGAAGTCCTGCTTTTGTCCTTGGCCGGTACTTGCAGCGGGGGGGGGGGGGGGGGGGGTCTGCCTAAGCGCAGGGACTCCCTGAGCAGAAGGGAAGGCAATGCCACCAGCCTGCGTCAGGGGCCAGGTTTTCCTGCCTGCAAACACTCATCACAAGTTGTAATCACTGAAGGCATCTGTGTGGTTGCATGGACTTAACAAGAGAACGCTTCAGCCAGTACTTATTAAGGAAGTGTGACATGCAATCAGGAGTTTTATTGTCCTTGAGTTTTTTCATGTCCACAGACTTTCTTTTTGTTCTTATTCTGATGCCTACAATTGTGCACTTTTACTGGCAGTAAGTCTCTGTACAAAGGGACTGTGCTGTCCCACCCTCTCCCTTTTCCCGGTTCCCGCAGGCGTCCATGAACATACCCCTGACCTCAGAGGCCATGCCTTCAGTGACACTGAGCACTGTTGACTGCTTCTCCTGCTCTGTAGTCTGCAGGGGTTTCTCTGCGCCGTCCAGCCTGGGAAGCTGCCACTGTTGATCAGATTTTATGGGAAATGACAAAAGACCTCCTGGCCTTAGCCTGCTCTTGAGAACTGCCCACAGTTATGGCCGTGCTCCGTGCCTGTCGGGCTCAGTGCAGGGACCACGGCAGCTGTGCCGAGTGTGACGGAGGAGCCGAGTGCTCCGTCAAGTGCATGTGGGCATGTGGGCCCCGTGGCTCCCTCCTGGGCTGCGCAGGCAGCACCACGGAACGCACGAGGCCAGGAAGGCGTCGGGTGTCCTCCTCAATGCCTCCCCGGCTCTGAGCCAGGCGGCTGTTAGGATGGCTGTCAAAAAAATAAGTAAATCGACACCCACGTCAAGCATTTCTAATTAATAACAAGACTGTTCTCCACGTTATGTTGCGTGCTTCACACAAGTGTTACCTTCACAGGCGTTGCAATTAGATCTCACTTGTTTCCATTTCATGTAAGAGAGGGAAGTGGGGCGCATCAGCTTAAAGTAGCAAACTCAAGGCCTCATGGCCTCTAGTGGGGGACCACCGCTCGGCTCCAGGGGTGCGATCGCCGAGGTGTTTGGCCGTGAGCATCGTCTCCGTCTTTCAGAGCAGATGTGGGCCACTTTGCCGTCCCCGTGAGAGTCGGGGCGCAGGTGGGAGACGGGGTGTGGGTGCAGAACATGGGCCCTGCCCAGTGAGTGCTGCCCTTGGTATGGGTCACCTGTGTGAAACTGAGCGCATTACTTAGTATTTCTAAGCCTCCGTTTTCTCCTTTTAATGTGGAAATAACAAAGGCACCCACCTCACAGGGTTGTCGTGAGAGTCAAATAAATTACTGGTTCCTGGCACACGGTTTGAAGCATGTGCACTTGCCATCGTTGTTATTTTTAATTTGAAAGCAGCCCCATTGTGTTCAGGTGGTTTAAGGTGATGCTAGCAGATGAGCTCGAGGCGCCTGGGGAGTAAGGGCGGCCCTGCGGACTCAGACCCTTGAGCAAGGAACACCCCGCCGCTCAGACCCGGGTGTCACCACCGGGTGACGTTCCAGAGCCTGTAGCCTCGCCCGGCTCCCTGTCCTCGCTTTTCATGTTGCCACACAGACGTCCCCTCTGGTGCTTGGATTGGTTCTGGATGCTGAGCACCGGCGAACACCAGCCCAGCGGGAAAGGGCTGGGAGGGGTGGGCTCTGTCTCCCAGCAGGGGCCGTCGCCATGGTTACGTGTCAGGGAAGAGAGGAGCACTTTGCTCTGTCTCCTCTCGAGTGGGCAGAGAGGCCAGTAATGAGCGGCCGGACCGCTAGCATATCACTGAACAGAGACTGACGGCACCTCTTTTGTTTCCGCCGCAGATGGCCTCCGCCCAAGATGCCAGGGTGGGCCAGAAAGACTCCTCTGATCAGAACTTTGACTACATGTTCAAACTGCTCATCATTGGCAACAGCAGCGTGGGCAAAACCTCCTTCCTGTTCCGCTACGCTGATGACTCTTTCACATCCGCCTTTGTCAGCACAGTCGGGATCGATTTCAAAGTAAAAACTGTATTCAGAAATGAAAAGAGAATCAAGCTTCAGATTTGGGTAAGTGACCTTAACTGAGCGTGCTACAGTAGGGCGTGCGACCCACGCGCGTGTGAGGGAAGGGCTCCCTGCCCTGTCTGTCCGTCCGTCCGTCCGTCTCCAGGGCGCCACAGCCTCCATCTCCAGGCTCCCTGCTGTTCCCAAGACAGCAGAGCAAAGCCTCTTTAAGGCTTATAAACTGAATTGTGCCTTGTTGTCAAGTGATGCTCCTTAAAAGTGTCCAGAAAAGACCCACTGTCAGTGCTGTTGTGTTGGTGGGAGGAACGGCTGGTGAGAAGCCTGGCTCTGCCACTGTGGTCGGTGTGACCGTGGGCTCGCCTGCAACTCCTTCTGTGCCACTTGTCTAATCCACACAAAATGGGTCTCACCTTTCATGCAGCAGGAAGCAGCCTATCCTGGGCATTTTAAAGAAAAAGACAAACGAGCAAGTGTAGAAAACGCCTAAGTATAGTGCCTTCCCAAAGCCCCAGGTACAACTTCAAACATGATCTATTTATACTCGGTGGATGTTGGGTTCTCAACTCTACCAGTCATGTTTATCTGCACAAATAAAGTAAAACGAATGAAGTAAATATTTATTTTAAAACAGGTTTCCTCTAAGCACAAGGCCCTCCCTCCGGTCAGCTCTGAGGCCGCGGGCTGGCTCCCGGCCGCGCAGCGCCTGCGGGAGGGCAGAGCCGCCTCATCGAAACGCTGCGGGGGAACTCAGCACAGCGGGTGGGACACAGGGGAAAAACGCATGCGGGTGACAGGTGTGAGCTGCCAGGGTTGATGAAGGGGCCAAAAGCCGCTTGCACCAGAAGTGTGTGCGGAGCGCCTGTGTACGTGCATAAAGCTCAGGTACACGGGCGGGACGTGCTCCGGGCAGTTGAGGCCCCTTTTCCTGGTCCTTTTACCTCCACTGCTGACCTGGGCGCCCTCAGCAGCTTCCTGAGGGTCGGCTTCCCACCCTCTCCCGGGGCCGGTCTGATGCCTTCGCTACGGGGCTGGTCCCGGACCATGGGTGGTAGGCGCCCGCCTCAGCTACGCAACGTCCCAAGACAGGCAAGCTCTGGGGGAAACCGTTTAAATGTGTTTAAAATAAAAGAGCCTTTATTAAAACATTTAGGTGACCTTTACGTACCTTAAAGCTTTTAGCAGTGAGATTTAAAGATGCGGATAACACAGACAGGCATCCCCTCAGGGCGTTGGCGGGGTTTGTTACCGTTTCTCTTACTCCACTCTGGAGCCCCCGTCAGACCAGACAGAGCTCAAGCGGGAGCCTGGAAGAGCAGCCCCGCCGCTGAGCTTCCTCCTCAGGCCGTCTTCTGGGACCAGGAGCTGCTTTGTGAAGATGGCAGCCTCGCAGGGCGGGTCCTGGGAAGTGGAAGCAAAGGCTCCGGAGGGGCGGGGGCCGCGGGGGCGGGCGGCGCTTCTGGGAGGCGCCTGCAGGCGCGTCTGCTTCGCTGCCGTGTTTGTGTCCCCGGAAGTACTGACTCGCGTGCCGTTCCCATGGTCTGACGACGTCACGAAATCCTTTATTTGGGAATGTGTTTGACACAGAGGTTTGTCGTCTCATGGCATTTTAGTTACCCAACAACGGTTTTTCCTAGTTCATATTTTTGTGAACTGACATTAACATGTAAACGAGTTACTGAGATCTCAACAGTCTCCTCGGTCGATGCTGCCATCTCCTTCTTCCGACACACCGTGTGTGGGGGCGGCAGCCCAGGCGGTCCTTTAATTCCCTGTCGGGGCCCCGCGGCCGTCCTGCCCTTTAATTCAGCTGTGACACTCACCACCCGGACCCGGCAGGGCCTCCGCAGGTGAAGGCCTTAGTGTCGCAGGCCCCGCCCCCACCTCTGAAAACCAATCGCAGGTCGGCTAGCTGCACGGCCCGCCGTCAGGGATGGTAATTGGCTAGAACAGCTCAGGAGACCTAGGAAAACGCCGGGCTCACTGGTATTGGTGTGTTTGAAGCCCGCAGCTTGGGGCCAGCCAACCAGAGAGCAGCACAGGGCAGAGCACGGGGCTGCGGGCGGGGCACATCCCCTCGAGCGCTGAGGTGTGGCCCCTGGCCCGGCGGCTCGCCGGGACGCAGTGTCCGGCTTCTGCGGATGTTAGGCCAGGGCTCCAGCCGTTTGGGAGGAACCGAGTTCCAGCACTTCCCCTCCGGGAGGTGGGGATGGGGCCGGAAGTCCCAGCCCGTTGGCCGCGGGGTCCCGTCTTCCGGGAACGGTCTCCTTGGGGAAGCCTTCCAGGGGCGCACCCAGAGCCACCTCAGGAGCGGAAACTCCGGTGCAACGGAAGGGGCTTCTGTGAACAGCCCCCGACCACGGGACGCCCAGGGTCTCGGGAGCTCGGTCCCAGGATCAGGAGGAAGACCGAGTGGCCCCTCTCCCCGCCTCGCAGCACCACCGCCCGCTGCACATTTCAGGGGAGGGAAGCGGAGGGAAGCGAAGCGAAGCGGCCTCGCGGGCTGGTCCAGGGCAGCAGGGCCTTCCCGAGCCCGGCCGCGGACCCGGGCCCGCCCGCGGCTCTCCTGGTCGAGAACGGCCCGCGGACAGAGCCCCTCTAGGGAGCGGAGGCCAAGGCAGGGAGGGCTGCGTGCCCAGGCCGAGCCGAGTCCCGAGTCCCGAGTCCGGGCCGCTGCCGGACGTGGCATCTGCGGCCAAGGGTCCTCAGGCTCGAGGCCGGGCTCCAGGCAGGGCTCCTAGTCAGGGAGGATGCGGGAGCCACCCCTCCTATGTATTCGGGGATTCGCTCTTTGCGTCGCTGTGAGAGGGCTTTCTGAGCCTGCAAACCGGGCAACTGGGCTTCCACAGCCCGTGTGCAAGGAAAGCGTCTTAATGGTGATGCGAAGTGTGACATTTCTTCTTGGACACGTGGCCCCTCCGTTCTGTTGACGGTCCTCACTGCCTGGTAGTAAACGTGCTTGGGAAAACCCCATCGCCGCCGTGCCCGTGGCAGACTGGCCTCCGCCAGTGTTGTTGCGACTCCTCCACTGCGTGAAGCTTCCTGCTGCGCTTCCATTGGATGACCATTTTTAAGATCCTCAAACCAGAATTTTTCACAGTTTTAGAGATTCCAAGTATTTAGGCTGGTTCCTTTATTATTTTGCGTGTATGTAATGGTGTTAAGAATAGATTGGAGAGAGGTTTAGTGTGGTTTTTCACTTTAATTATAGAAAGAGATTTCACATCTGGGGCCTATGGCATTTCGGTTTAATTTAAAAAGTGGTTTAGCCTCGAGAATGGCTATGCAGACGGGACCTCTCCCCGTGAGGGCACTGAAGACAGTGCCACCTCTGTCGCTGAGAGTGGCTGCTGCGCCCACGCTGTGTGTGGCGCCTGCCGCTGGGAACTTGGGGACTCGGGGACTCGGAGACTTGGGCTCAACGCCGCCCCCAGTGCCAGCGCCGAGCACGGTTGCTACCAAAACGGGCGGCCGGACGCCACAGCTTCCTTTGCTCAGGAAAACACCGGGCCCCCTATTTGCCGTGCAGCCTGCAGAGCTCACGTCCAGAACGCAGGGTCCAGCTGCCTAATAGAAGACCATGTGGCGAAGGCAGGCGGGGTGGCCCAGATGGCGGGCAGCTGTTCCCGTGAGGGTGTCACCGAGCTTTGTTTCCCTTCTGTATCTCCTTTTCCCGCCGCGCCTGTCTCCCCTCCCCGTCCTGCCGTGGTCTCTGGGCTCTGGCCAAGTTACTAGGAAACTCGCCTCCGCATGTCCGGAGGCCAGGGCCACTGAGCCCACAGAGAGCCACTCGCTGGGCGGTGCTCACTCGGACCCTGGTCACAACGCGGCCTCCTGCGGGTCAAGCATTGCTCCTGGCCCACGTGCTGCCGAGGGTGCTCTGACCCCCACAGAGAGCCACCGCGGAATCCCTCTCACTGCCTGGTGCAGCCACTGATGGGGGAGCTGAGAGGATGGGCCGCCTCGGCCTTGGGGAGAACGTGCTCCAAAATCCAGGCTTTAGCATTTTACTTTTTATGAATGGAAAAGAGAGAGTGCACACTGCTGTCTGGATTGTTTCTTAAATAAATTTAGTAGCAGCTTCATCCCAGGAACTTTGTATTTCTGCAAAACAAGAGTCAGAAAAATGGCTGAGAGCAGAGGGACCCACAGCTCGTGACCGCGGCCTCCGTGCAGCTGCTGGGAAGGGGAGAGCGGAGGTGAGGGCAGCAGGTGCGGGCTGGCTCAGCGGACCTTGGACCCTGCTTGCCCTGTGGGCCTGGGCGACCAGGGCCGGTGGGCTTGGCTGGAGAGTGAGAGCTGGATAGGGAGGTGGTCAGGGCTCTGAGTTCTGGACTGGTTTGCTTTGCATGTGAAAAACGAGTTATAGGCTCACTGGGGACGTGAAGGGGGGCTCTCCTTCCAGGGTCCACAGGCCCCAGGAGTCAAAGATCAGAGCAGGGAGAATGAAAGGCAGGCTCCTAGAGCCACCAGGGTGGCTTCTGCCTTTGATCCTGACCGTGGTCTCAGCCATGGTCACCGCAGGCCCTTGCACTGCTGGGTCTCAGCGTTTGGAGGCCCTGGATGTGGGGTCAGACCTGGCTCTCACAGGCGCCCTGGCCCCGCTCCTCATTTGGTGATGTGGCTGCTGATGGCACTGTTCGCCGTACCCAGCACTGACCATGAAGTGACCACTTCATGTTTACATGCAATTTAGAATTTTTTTTTTTTTTTTTTTTTGCAACAACCCCATGAGGAAAGTGGTATTATAGCCTCATTAAGTGAGGAAACTGAGAATCGCAAGACAGGAATGTGCCCAAGGTGGCAGCTAGGATGCGTCGGAGCGCGGTGTGGCCCGAGGCTTGCACTGGACCACACGCTGTCAGCCAGGCGGGGCGGCCACTCTGAAGCCCTGCATCTCTGATCCCAGCTTTCTCCCGCACTGAGGTGCTTACTGCTCCGTGCGCTCTCGCCCCCCTGTGTCACCCGTTTCAGGCAGTGGTGTGCAATCCGGGAACAGTTGTCTGTGTAAAGCCTGAGCAGGTCGCCGTAGTCTGCGTGGTGCG